ATTCTGTTTTATGATAGATAATGTATCAAATAATCTCTCATTATCGAAAATTTGATTGAGTTCATTAGCATAAGTTCTGCCATAATGTATATTATCCGAAGATAAGTTTTGATCCCGAAGTTTCTTTTCCCTAATTCTCTCCATTATCTCTTCACTAACATGTTCTTTATATTCTATTTCAGGCAAGGGATTAGGTGTAATGCCTTTCTCCTCATCAGAATAGCTCTCGATAAGTGGTGAAATATCTTTTGTAGGAGATGGCTCCTGTTTATTAGTAATAGCCTGCGTCTGTTTCTGTTCCAATTTCATGATTCTATCTTTTAAGCTCAGTATTTTCTTCTACGGTCTGTTCCAATTTGGCGATCCTGGCATACTTTTCCATAATCTGTTTTAAAAGCTTGGCATTCTTTGCCTCAAGCTCAGAAATTCGTTGTCTTAATGAATCAATCTCAGATTGCATGTTTTAGTAATAGATTGTATATTTCTCATTATTTATTTAAAATGTATAAGTATCAAAATTTTGGTCGTCAAAACCATTTTATTATATTATTCATTGATATAATTGATGTTGTAATTACGTATGTTGAATAAAGCAATTAAAAATCTATATCGAAATTAGCTTTATACAGAAAAACATTATACTAATTCTTTGGAACCTTTATTGGTGTATGAAAAGATGGTCGCGTCATTTCATTGATTAAAGTCACGTTGCCTTGAGTTGTTTCGCGTTTAAATAAGTTTTGAATATTTTTTTTGCAGATTTCGGTGGAACGGGTCATTATAGTCTTTTGTATAAAAAAGATAAAAATTAGATTGTAAATAAAATCCAATAATATTATATATACTAACTTTCATTTGCATAAGGCGTTCTATTGAAGTGGGAAGTACGCCAAGATCAGAACTATCTCGAGGGAAATAAAATTTCCCCAAAAGAATCATCCGATATATGGCTTCATATTTTAAATCCATAGCAAATAAACGACATTGAAAACCTAGTTACAAGAATAATGCAGGGAAAATGCAAATTATATTATAGATGTTAATGTTATTTTAAGAAATGCCGATGCAAATAACTTAACTTCCACCAGTAAACCACAAATTATTAAATCATTACTTTTTACTCCATCATCAATACATTTGTCAATTATATCCTTCATCTCGTTGCCTAATTTCACAAAATCACAGTCTTCCAAAGAGATTTTATCTTTACTTGATAAAATGAAATCGGCAGACTTTATTTCCGAAGTCAACAAATAAAATTTATTACCTCTAATAGGCATATATACTGAAAAATCGACTTTTCTTCCCTGTAATATGGGGTCAAATTTACGTTTCCGGTGTACAGATGCTTCCAAGAGATCGGTTGACCTGAAAATAATCCAATAAAATTTTAATAAATCATTAAAATTACAACATAAGATAAAGAAAAAATTGTGTAAAAAAATTACCATTCACATTTAAAATTAATGTTGCGGAAAAATGGCCTGATCACGGGTTCAAAAACTTCATGAACGAAGGAATCTTCTTTTAAACCTTGCCTGTACACTTCCGATTTAAAATTATTTACTCTATAATATAGCAACAATATTATGTTAATAAGTAGCGATAAACAATTCTCAAGCCTTGCAGATACACACATTGACTCAAACGTTTCCAGAATTAAATCTTCTTGATTATCATCAAGATCCTTTTGCCATTTTCTCAACAGTGGCTTGCATTTTCCAAAATCTTCGCTTGCAGTCTACTTAATAAATACGTTATTACAAATAATCCCCATATTAAGATATTAAGATCATATCAGAAAAGTCATACATTTGCCATCTTATGACACCGTAAAACATCATCATGCGATAAATGATATGGAGCAAATTCATTTTTGATAGTATCGAAAATAATGTTTAATGATTCTGGTTCAATCATCGAAGATACTCCACTTGAAACATTTTGTTCGAATAAAAATATATAATTCAAGGAACTACAACGATCATGGAACATTTAAAGATCACAATCAGACGCATATAAAAGATTTAGAAATTTATAACTTACAGTATTTCATCAACCTCTTCTATTTTATTCTCGGAAGCTTTTTGAACAGACATATCACGATATTCTAACAATAAACTCGAAACGTCAAGTTTATCGATAACCCACTATGTACAAAAAGAAAAGTTAAAATCTTTTCTGGAGAAACCTGAATATAAGTTTAAATATTACCTTTTTTGCGTCCTTATTTAATGCAGATTTCTTAACGCCAGGTCCCGTAAACCAATCATAGGTATGATCGATTTTTCCCCTTTTTATTTCAATAAAACTATTGTCATCTGGTTCATCCGAACTGGGGCGATAGGATTCGTCTGAATTGTTATCATCGGATGTTTCAGATACAATAAGTTCATTCTCATCAAGTGTTTCAGATACAATGAAAGGATCGTTGGAATCATCTTCTATTCCTAGAAACGAAAATTTTGTAAAATTAAAAACAAACAAATGCTCAATGGGTTTGAATCCATAGTTCTAACCTTTGCCAACCGTTTTTGAGGGCTCTCTTCTGCAACATCTAAAAGTCGTTTCGTAAGTTGAGTAATACAAGTGGTTTTTGCATCAGCAGAGTTATTGGTGTCCAGTGCTGATTCTTTCTGATCTTCCAATAACTCATTCCCGACGCGCTTATTCTCGTTTGAATACATAGTGTAAGTTTTTTCGCGACGAATTTCTGAAATTTTGATCTGTTATATGTTGGTATGTTAAACAAAATTGATCAAGAAAAACCAGCCCATATGATCTTGTAACCTACCCTATGTCTTTTTTCAGTGACACAAGACCAATCGGCTTTGTCTTTAATCACCTATATTTTTTCATAATTTTAAAAATTGTTAGAGTACGCTTATCAAAGCGGGAGGCACAATGTTGGCAATGTTGGGGGTGAGGAAATGCGCAGTGTTGAGGATGAGGGATGTGCAACGTTGGGTATGCGCAATGTACCTAACAACCACAGTCAGGGCGTAACCTAACTGAAGATTCCAACAATACTACTAGGGCGAGGGATGCGCAACTTTAGGTATGCGCAATGTACCTAACTACCCGCAATCAGGGCGATAACCTGATACGAATGCCCTAAACAGAGAAAATTGATTGAAATATACTTTCCTTATTATTCAACATTTTCGCAGATAACTCGAAACGCTTTGTCCACGCACTCGTCAGTGCCCGAGAGTCATTCGATTTTGGAGTTGATTTGGCTATGAAGTCAATATTCAACTGAACAAATTCTGACAAAGATGGGACAATGTCGCGTTCTGATGCCCACTCGAAATATGACTTAAAGACTAAAAATTTGGTATTGCACTGGTGAGTAGATGTAGAAAGTCACGTCAGTTTCAGTAACATGTACTTGCCATCGAAACCATACGGTTTTTTCTTTTGTTGGCTCATACCTAAGCTAATAATATAAACAGATTTCCAGTACATGGCACAATAAATAATCACGTGTCAAAATTTTAACGATGGCTTAAAAAATCAAAACCATTGAACGTCACATGAATTCCTAAAAAACTATTTTCTCTACATAGTAAATACCCCAAATATGTATGCTTTAAACATTCTCTAAAGATAACGAAGAAAAATATTCAGTACACATATAATAATTAAAAGGTCAAATCATATCTTTATTTATTTTTTTATTTTTTTTAAATGATCATCAAGAAATTTTTTTGGTGAAGATCTTCAGAGATCTTCACCCTTGAAAATCTTCAAAGGTTTTTAAGAATTTTTAATATAGAATTTTTTAAAATAAAAAAATTTTGGAAATTTTTATTTCAA